TTAAGACCAAGATATAGCAAGACCTATATACTAAGAAGTGTAACTTTTGTATATGATAAGGTCAGCCAAGTACTCTCAGGATTTATCCTGTAGTCCTGTACCGCCTTTTATACATCCTTTTGTCAGTATCTGAGATGAGGATGAGTCACGGCCATTGCTTGACCAATTTGCTCTCTGTGAAAGCTTGAGAAAATGTTTTTTCTCTCCATGTGACTCTCCCCAGGCTCACTTTAGATCATCAAACAAATTTGCTGTTCTAACCAATACAATAAAAAAGAAACAGAAGGAAGAGACCTAATTATTACAGAGAATGTTAAAATTTACTTTACATATCTAAATACTATAAGGGCAGTAAACTGAACATTTTTCCTCTATACCAATTAGAAACTGACGCAATAAAATCTCATTTATAGTAACTGTAAGTATAAAATAAACTCTTCTAGAATAGACCTAACGCAACTGCAAAGGACCTATAAAACCATGTAAGACTTTTTTTAATTTTTTTTTTTTTTTTTTTTTTTTTTTTTTCGGAACTGGGGATTGAACTCAGGCCCTTGTGCTTGAGTCATTGAGCCATCTCACCAGCCCCCATGTAAGACTTTTATAGGACACATAAAAATTCTACTTAAGGGCCTTAAAGGAAGACTTCAATGAACAAGAGTGTCACACTGTGCTTATTCCTGATTGGAAATAAAATGTTCTTTCTCAATTCACTTTTATCCTTCATACTAATCCAAATGAGATTTTAAAAACTTAATGTTAAACATGAGCACACACATACAGATAAGCAAAGAGTAATTTGGAGAATCTTTATCAAAAAGTAATTCATAGGGGCTGGGGAGATGGCTCAGTAGAATACGTGCTTCCCTGGCAAGCGCAAGGGCCTTAATCCCCAGTCCTGCCCAAAAAAAAAAAAAAAAAAAAAGTAATTCATAATAAAAAGTAAATGAACAAAACAGTACATATAAGACTTCAACCAGAATAATGGACTATAATAGAGAATATGGAAAAAATTCTAGAATATAAACAAAATATTAATGTACCTATATCACAAATCAGCAGGTACAATCAGAATTACTGAATAAATGGTGCTGGGAATATTTCTGAACTATCTGAATTTTTTTTTTTTGGGGGGGTGGCAACATCTTTACTTTCACTTGTAAATGATCATCAGCACACCAAGGAACAAGTTCTTGAGGCCTATCATCTAATGAATGTCTTTGTTTTTAGAGACAGGGTCTATGTAACCCAGGCAGGCCTGGATCTTCTATGTAGCAAAGGCTGACCGCAAAGTAGTGATCCTCCTGCCTCAGCCTCTGGTGCTGGGATTGCAGGCATGTACCAGCACACCCGGCTCAGTTAGTCATTTTAGTTAAAATAAACCAAGCACAGCCCAAGCAAGTATATTCACTGTCACTATTCTAATTCTTCTGCAGAATGTATTTAAGGTAGGCGACTGCTTTACACAAGTTACAGACAGCTATTTACTACCTTTTCATAAATAAAGCCCTGAACTTTAAGAAAGTAGAAGGAAAAAGTTATTTAACCCCTTCCTTTCTTTAAAGATTATTATTTTTTCTTTTTTCTTACTAAATCTAAGAAAGAAAAAGTCAAAACTGATATACACGTGTCTTGAGCTAAAAGATATAGGGAAACAGACAACAAATACTCATTACATTTCTAAGAAATATGAGACAAAAAGGTGAAATCTTTGGAGAAAATACACCTTTGTCCACAGAAGCCAGATAAGCTACTCTCCCAAAAGTGAAGGTTAAAGAATAGAAATTGACTCTGCTAAAGCTTCATATTCCATCTATAGAGCCAATCCAGGAACAGGCGCTCCTTCCTTCCATTGTCCAGGACCTCCTCTCTGTTCTGCCGGAAGTAGGTCTGCCAGCCCTCTTTTCCTGGGTCTCCTTCTCCCCTTCGCTGCTGCCATGGGATCTTAAGGCTGCAGTTCCTTGGCCTTGAATTCCTTCTCCCTCTTTTTTATTTTATTGGTGGGGGGGGCGTGGAACTGGGGATTGAACTCAGGCTCTTATGCTTGCCAGGCATGCGCTTACTCTACTGTGCCATCTCCTCCACCCCTCAGCTTGGGCTTCTTTGGCCTGCTTCAGTCTCTGGTTCTTTCGTTTGTGCGCCTTGGCCACCTTCCCCAAGGCCCGCTTCTTGGCTTGCAGCAGCTGCCGGATTCCTTGCTACTGGCTAGCCATGGCTGCAGATTTATTTCGCTGACAGTTACTGGACGTTACATTACATAACCAGCTGATTAAAGGCAGATTATTTTGAGACTCCAGACATCCCGAGAATGGTTTCTGAATCTCCAGCGCGGAGACTGAGGCAGGAGGAACTGGAGGTTGGTCTGGGTTTCCTAGCTTAAAGCAGCTTTAATTGCATTGCAAGACATAGGAGCCTTCTTTGCTCCATTTGCTCTGGAGAGATGGTCAGTGCCTCTCTCTTCTCCTAATGGGTCCTCTCTACCCGAGGCGGCCTCAATCACACACCCGGCTGCCCCGCCTTACACAGTGTGGAGGAGAAGCTGGGGCACCTCTACATGGAGGACAACCTGCTCCACACCTCAGAGGCCTTGGGACTGGGCTGAAAAAATTTTTAATTTAGAAAATCTTTTTTTTTTTTTTTTTTTTTTTTATTACATTTTTTTATTGTGTGTGTTTGGCGGAACCGGGGATTGAACTCAGACCCTTGTGCTTGCTAGGGAAGCGCTTATTCCACTGAGCCATTTCCCTGGCCCCTAGAAAATCATTTTATATCATATACCAAAATATATCAGAATATATATTTTACCTTATTTTACATATTATGAGTCTAAAGCAATAAAAAAGGAAAAGTAATAAGTTTGATCATGTAAAATGCAAAATCACATGTCAAAAGCCAACAGAAAATTAAAAGGTCAATAATAAAATGAAAAAATATCAGCAATAAAGGTGAATATACTGTAACTTTTTAAAAATTGGTGCTTTAATTGAAAAAGGATCATGTGAACAAGGTAAAAATGAAAACAAGATGGAGTTAATTCAGAGATGCGTCTTCACATTTCAGATCAGCAGGTCCTTATGTTTCTTCCTCTAAGGGAACAGTCTTCCATATTTATCTCCTTCCAGAAATAAAACTACAAATAGTTTATTTTTTCCCCTTTTACATTTCCAGAATTCCTTTTATACTGCTCTATATTTTGGGTTTTTGTTTTGTTATTGTTTTTTACATACTAATGTTGCTTGGAAGTTGTTCTAAATAATGAAAGAAGTAGTACAGAATTTTGTCATTCATTTTCAAGGTTGTATTAATTTTCAGCATAATATATGATACCAATTATCTGGAACTCTTATAAATGAATAAGACAAAAAAATGAGCATCCTATTAGAAAGAAAAAAAGCTTATGACCAGTAAGCATGTGTGTGCATGCACACATATAGTCCAATGTCATTATTAAATGAATAAAAATAAAATAGATATAATTTTTCCATCCATTGAATTGGCAAATTTTTGAAAATTAATAATTATTCATCATTGGATAGCCAGTTCTGTTCTTTTATTTCCAACGAGAATGCAATAGCTATGCTAGAGACAGCACAGCAAACATCACTGAGCATCTATAATGGCTCCACCCTTTGACCATCTGCAGTAACTTACCTTTCAGGAATAATGAGAATCACACAAGCATTTATGAATATAAATTGCAGCACTATTTTATTAACATGAAAAATCAGAAAATTCTGTTGCCCAACAATAGAGAGTAATTAATTTATGGCATATATCAAGGATATAAGTTATATGATAATACAACCTTTGCAATCAAGTTTTTGAAGTCTAATGACATAGGAAAGTATGCCTCAAAAATGTTAATTAAAAGCTGCATGATGTAAAACTATACATAAAGAATATGGATTTGATTGGAGTGAGCAGATTGATGGGGAACAGACCAAAATGTTATTTAATTGTTTTCTTTACATATTTTAATACAGTTTTCTTAGTTTACTTTTTAGTCAGCAAAAAATGATAAACACTGTAAGAGGAGATTTTTGAATTCTTAAATGATAGTCAATATGTACACAGATATAATCTGTTCTGCAGGCACTCCTGAGTGAATTATCTGTGTAGAGCACTAGAAAAAAAAAAACCCACTAATATTACTCACACATTATGGTGTCCTACTTTACAAAAGCCTATTTTGCTGTGCAAATTTATCTCAGAAGAGAAAATTGCATGTGCCCATATGTTCTCTAGCTGCAATTTCAACAATGAATTAAAGGACCAAATCTAGGTACTTATACAACTGGGTTAAAATTGGGAATACTTGTATGAAGGGACTCAATTATCTTTGTTACAAAGAACTCTTATTTAGCTGCTGTGTGAGAGGCATCTGTCAAAGATAAATTCCTGTCATTTACAGATTCTCTTTATCCTCTCTAACAAAAACCAGCCCAGGGAAATGACAGTTGAGTTTCACAAAACCAATGTTCAGACTTCCTGAGAAACTTGTCTTGAAATCAGAAGTCAAATTCCTGACCTACATCAACCTTAACAAACACATTCCCCTTCAGTAAACAGCCGTGCATTGATTGTGAGGTACTTCAGGATAAAATCAAAACCTGAAGTCTGTGTATTCTTTTCATGAGAGTACAACTACAGAGGTTTTATTTTCCTCTCGGTATTTCAGAAAGGAAATCTGCAGCCTACTTATCTTCCCAGCCTTATCTCCTACCCAGTGCCTACTCCTCCCTCAGATCATAGCTAGACTGGACTAGTCTATTCTCTAAACATACATTGTATCCTTTCATCTCTGCTTTTCTCATGATTGTTCCTAGGTTTGTAACAGCCTCTTCCTTAAGGCCCCTTTGAGACAAAGTTCAAATCCCTTGAGGAAGCCTGCCTTGGTCTTCTAAATGGAAAGCAACATTCCTCCTACAGAATTCCCACAGCATCTGAATCACTCCAAAAGAACTTTCTTAAATTCCTTCACGTGGCACTAAGAGGACACTGGTATCTGTATGAAACACGCAAAGACTACGTGACTGTTTCTTACTGCTTCATCAGGCTGAAAAGGTTTAACCTTTGTGGCATGAGCTTGTCATATGCAAAGTATACCTTCCTTCCAGAGTTAAGATTAAATAAGAAAGCACACATGAAGTTCTGAGCAATATATATTCAATGAATAGTGGCTGCCTTCTGTTCTTGCCTTATTAGATTCTGCTGCACTGGTAATTCTGTGGCACTGTTATTATTCTTGCTCAACACGTATACCCATGTGCATGTGTACACACATGACTATAAATTCCACCTAAGTAAAGCTGTTTTGTTTATCTCTGTAGTCTCATAGATATTGAATTCTGCGACTTGTATGTATATTTGTAAAAATTATTTGTTTTAAAAAAGTAAATAGTACGTTAAACACATCTAAAACTTTAAAATTTAAATGCCTTTAAGAGCTAAAAACCCACATGGCTTTTTTTTAAAGATCTAAGAATTAGCAATTAAAGCACCGGAGAGGATTTCGCTGAAAGTAAAAACCTAACTATAAATAGATACATCAAAGCTTCGAGTCCCTGGGAACACACCAGTAAATGTGTCACTATGTCAGTAACATGGTCGATCTATTATTTTCCCCACATCTTCAATTCTCATTACCTTCCAGCCTTTGAATCTCTTCAGCTGTTACTTCCAGTGTTTGATCAGATAGGGAAGCAACTTGGAGGACCTGATAGAAAAAAGAAGGAAATGTGTGTATATGTATAGTTTTTTTTTTTTTTTTTTTTTGTGGTTGGCTCAGCTCACCCTGGGGGCAGGGCTGGTGCGGCATGTGGTGCCTTGGATTGAACCATGGTCCCTGCAATTGCCTAAGCTTGCCTAAGCAGGTGCTTTAGACCACTGAGCTATCTTGCTGGCCCAGGTTTTTGTTTTTAAAGAGGCAATTCTATCTTTTACAAAATCAAACATCAAAGATCAGATACTGTAAGAAACTGCCGTTGTCCTTGCCTACAGAATGAATCTTTGTCCCCCTACTTTCAAGTAGTAATATACTGCAGAGGATCATTCCAGAAGAAAAGATTAATTTACTGTATCATAAACTTAAAAGACCAAAGGATAATTTGGGACAAGAAGCACAAATACAGGTTTAATACTACATCAGTATATATCCTGGTCCAACACATGTTATTGCTTGAAAACATAACAGTGAACTACAGTAACAGAATAATACTGGAAATTCTCAAGCAATGAAGAAACAAATATAGCTATGAATATAGTGATGGCAGCATTTTACACTTAAAAACAGTATTCATTTTTATTTTTTATTTTTTATTTATTTTTTTTTTTTAGAAATAGAACTACTAGACAATTTTTTATTTATTTTATTTATTTATTTTTGTGTGTGTGTGTGTGGCCAGCTCAGCCCACCAGGGGACGGGCTGGCTGGCATGTGGTGCTGGGGGATTGAACCGCGGTCCATGTGCTTTGCTAAGCTTGTTCTAAGTAGGTGCTTTAGACCACTGAGCCATCTCACCAGCCCCCAGTATTCATTTTTAAAGTACTTCTCATAATTTACCTCATAAAGCCTAAAGTCTAACTTGCCTTATTCCAATGGAACTCTTGTTTGTAGGCCAAAGATTTCTGGAGGATAATTTTACAATGAAAGAAGAAAATGACTTGCCCAATGTAACAAAATAACACACAGTAGAACCATTTGGAAAACAGCCTAGTCTTAGAACAAGGGAAATCACTTGGTTTCCACAGAGGACAGTGTCTAAGTAAACCTTAAATACCAGCACTCTTGGAGGTGGAGGCAAGAGGATCACTTTGCGGGCAATTTAGCAAATTAGTGAGATCCTGTCTCAAAGTTTCTTTTTTTGGGGAGGAAACCAGGGATTGAACTCAGACCCTTGTACTTGCCAGGGAAGCACTTATCCTACTGAGCCATCTCCCCAGTCTCCTCAGAGTTTCAAAATGAAAACTGTCTGTCTTTCTTTCTTTCTTCTTCTTTTTTTTTTTTTGCAGAACCAGGAATTGAACTTAGGCCCTTGAGCTTGCCAGGCAAGTGCTTATTTTACTGAGCTATCTCCCCGGCCCCTCCTTCTTTCTTTCCTTTCTTTCTTTTCCTTCCTTTCCCTTCCCTTCCCTTCCTTTCCCTTTTCCTTCCTTCCTTCCTTCCTTCCTTCCTTCCTTCCTTCCTTCCTTCCTTCCTTCCTTCCTTCCTTTTTCGGTACCAGGGATTGAACTAAGAACCTCACACTTGCCAGGCAGGCACTTATTCTACTGAGCTATCTCCCCAGCCCCAAAAACTTTCAAAAAGGGCTGGGAATGTAGCTTAGTGCCAGGCCCCAGGCTGAGTTCAACTGCCAGTACCATGCACATATGCACACATAAAGTACAATGTAAAATAAAATTTAAGCTGTACATTTGATGAATTAAAAGTAGAGTGCACATTTATGATTTTTTTTTACATTTATGAATTCTTAATACAGGAAAGAGTGGACTGAAGGTATAGCTCTGTGGTAGAGTGCTTGTTGAACATATCCAAGGCTCTGGGTTCAAGACCCAGTTCTAAAAAAGAAAAAAATTTTCACACTATTCTTGTATGAACAGAAACACACCATACCAATTAAAAGCAAAGAATCAGAAGCAACTGCCTTCCACTGCAAAAACTACAGTAGAATTTAGAAATGCCCAATGTAAAGCAGTACAAAATGGTTTCTTTTTTTTTTTTTTTTTAATATTTATTTATTTTTGTGTGTGTGGCCAGCTCAGCCAACCAGGGCCGGGGGCTGGCTGGCATGTGGTGCTGGGGGATTGAACAACGGTCCCTGTGTTTTGCTTAGCTTAGCTTGTTCTAAGTAGGTGCTTTAGACCACTGAGCCATCTCACCAGCCCTACAAAATGGTTTCTAATCCAATAGAAAAACCATTTAACTTACCAGCTGTGCAAAAGTGGTAACTTTCAGTCTCTTGAAAAGTTCATCTTTTTTGTATCTATAATCTGAAAAGCAAGATATTTATCTGAATTTATTTTGTTTTCTTAGAGTTGTTAATTCTTTCTAGTCATCAAGTAATATGGCATGTTTTTCAAGTCATTTGTATACTTTTATATATATGGTGTCATCTCATTTGATCTTCACGACATGCTCAGAAGAGGCAGGCAGGCAGAACTATTGCCTCATTCCCCTTGACTGCGGCCATCCAGGAGCATCGCCACCATCTCCCCTTACTCGGCTGTCTGTACAGTGGACATTTTGGGTTACATGTATTTTCATAAGCTGCCTCAAAATCCCTTTTTGAACAAAACAGAGAATGGATGTCCACATTTTACAAATGAGGACAGAGATTCGAGAAGCTGAGTTGCTCCAGGCCAAATGGCTGGTGAGATGCTTATACCCTACTATTCTTACTGGTTTCAAAAATAGCAATAATTTTCCTGTGGGTGCAAACTGCTAGAGACATAGGATGGTGTGTGTGAGTGTGTGTGTGTGTGTGTGTGTGTGTGTGTGTGTGTGATTGTATGTATGTACATGTGTGTTGGCCACATGGTTATGATTGGCTTGATTGGTTTTGATAATCTCTTACAAGGTTCTCTTCCAGAAAATCAGTTTTGTAAGATGAAAACGTTCTAAAAATCTGTTTCACAGAGAGAATATGCTTACCACTATTACTTAATGTTGAAAATGTTAATGCTAAGAACATAATCAACATTATTACTGAGTTTTATACTTAAAATGGTTCATATGGCAAACTTTCTTTTTTATTACAATTAAACAAGGTTAAAAAAAACTAAAACAAATAGTTATTAAGTGCTATCTTTACAGTTTTGTGAGCTAACTCAAATTGGGGGGTACTTACACATTTTTGTTCTTTATATCACATTAAAAGTTATTAAAACCGGAACCAATCTCACTTAAGCAAGTATCTGTCTCAGAGAAACATGTTAAAAATGACCTTTATAAAACTTTTCTGAGGATGGCTGCTAATGCAGAAGAGTTTCAGTGTTAAACTTTGTTTCATCTTTTCCTACTCTATTAGGTTTCATCCTGGTGCCCAGTACTGTTTAAAACACTGGCTCATTATCTCAGAATTACTAAAGGTTAGCTGGATAATTGCTATAGCCTTCACAGCATAAATGTCTCATAAATCAAGACTCCTAGCAACAAAAGAGATTAAAGTTATTTAAGATTATTTACTTGGTATTACTAATCAGTTCCATGAATCCTCTAAAAAAAAAAACCAAAAAACCAGCACTGGCTTGATGGTTACTTTGCAGGATAATGTAAGCTTGGTTAACCAAGTACCTTAACATTCAGAGTCAGGAAATGATATTCCCTTACAAACTAGCCTTCTACAAATTTGGCAGGACTTTCACTTGATGCATGTCCCTTTCTTGTTGAGAATTAAAACACTGTCCTAAAATGTCTTAAAGAAAGCAACTTGGCAAATAAACTATTACTGCTAGAAAATTCTTAGAGAAGCTTATTCTGTATACAGCAAGGTAAACTTAGAGGAAACATAGCCAGGATATAGATCCAAATAGGCTGAGCAGAGGCTTCAAAAAGTACAAGTGAATAACTACTGCATTCCCCTCAACTGCTGTCAATTTGTCCACCACAAGTCATCTATGTAAATCAAAATGGTAATGAAGCAGCCTATGGAAACAGTCAATTCCTTTCAAGTAGTTTGTACTTGGACAGTTATCCACTGATATTCTTTTCTGGTATGGTTACATATTTGAAATACTTCTAAGTATAAAATGTACAGATTAAAATCCCTTTGAATGAAACAGATTATAGGAAACAATACCAGGTTTAGCTACACCCTCTGGTCTGGCATTCCTTCCGTCCTCTGTACAATCACTCCGAGCCCCCATCCACCCCAGCCTGAACACCACGTACCTGGTTCTGGTTTAGAAGGGCAGCCATCAGTAGGACTTTCTGACATTATTACTCAAGAGATAAAAGATCAAAGTAGACGTCTTACAGCAAGTTTTAAATTTTATAAATAGGACCACTTGGATGGCTCTGCCAGTCTGTCTTCGCAAGAGTGAACAGAGCTTTAAGAATGGAGCTTCTGCTGCTGTGCTCTCAGACTCTGTAGGAGACAGAGCCTCCCAGCTGAGATATGCTATCAAAGTTTGCTTCTCCATTGAGCCTAGGGTCTGAGTCTGCCTCTCTCGAGTTACTGGAAGGACAGAGACCTGACTATCTAGGATGTTTCATGCTTCAAACAACTAGTGTTATCTAACCACCAGGTACCAAGAATAGGCTTTGTAAATGGTCAATAGATAGAGTGTCTATTTTACCCAGGTAGAGTTGAAAGAATGTTCAGATTACAAAGGATTTCTGAGTTTTCAGGCTTCTTTTAAAATGTGTTATTAGCAAAGAAAAGGGAAATTGGCCTCACAGTAGAAGACAAATCAAAGGAAGTAATACAACAAGGTTTGTGATTTCACAGACAGACGTGGCATTTGAGGTAATGCAAGCAAAGTCATGGGTCTCGGGTGTCATGAAACAAGGCAATATTCTTCTCCCTTTTGACCCAAAAGAATACTTACACCAGAAAACAACGAAAGAGAAGGAAACAGTTCTCCAAATGCAGGTGCCAAACTAGAGTACAAAGTAATTTTGTTGGAATGAGCACAAAGCGTGTGATCAAGGTGACCAGAACTGCCTGCCTTTCTACGAGGAAGCCCACAGCTTCAAGACGAGGAAGATGAGGGTATTCCCAAGGATTCTATTCTAAGGGAATCTCCATTTAAGGTTTAGATACTCAAGATACCATACTTTACTTTTAAGAAATGTTTTACACAAGGTTTTACCAATCTGGATGGAATAGGACAAATATTTTTAGGACAAATTTCCAATAAGAATACCTGAAGTTATACTCAGCTACATGAAAAGGAGGTAAAAGAGACCATAAACCTATACAGGAGCAGGATGGCTGGATGCTGCCTGCCTCAGATGAATGAAGGATGACAAGAGTGAAGAATAGGTGAGTAAACAAGGTTTTTTTTTCATAGTTTAGAAATTTTTAATATATTTGATACATTTAATTTATGTATACTTATAATAGCAATGTAAAATGCATAAGAAGAGAGAAGCCTATAACATTACACATTTTTAAAAAAAGAGGTATCTATAAGCACTAACTCTTCTAGCTGAATTTGGCAAATAAAGATAGCAGAAAGCTGATCCTGAGTCTCTATCTATTGCATGGGGTGTCCCCACATACCAACTCAAAACAAACATTATCATCTTAAATTGAAAAGTATACTCTGTAAAAAAACCAAACAAAAACACCTGTATTCTAGATTTAGAATTTTCTCTTCCAAGAAGGTATGCTCGGAAGTCAAGTTCTGAACTATAGTCAGAATACCTCTTCACTATCATTAGCTAAACACTCCCCTAACACTGAGTTCTCCTACTTATGATGAAGCAAATCCATCTGAGGAAACAGATGTTTTTATTTTTTAATTCTGGCCTTGGTATGTGCATTTTACAGTTTTGAACACAGACTGAAAGAATTATGATTTTTGTGCAAGGGCAATGCACTCAGTCACTAATAAGATATCGCTACAGCAGACTACTTTGTAAAAAAGGATGGGTATGAAATATGATTTTTAATTAAAAGAAAACAGACTGCAATGAATGGATAATGGAGAATACTAAGAATAAGCTCTTTCTTCCTCATATCTCTAAGTCTTTTGTGAATACTCATTTATACTCATAAGAATGTTATGAAGAGAGGTTTTATTGTCATATGACAGGTGCAGACCAAATAAGAAGACAGGAAAGATTAAATACCTTCAAAAAGGCCACAAAAACTACAGTACAGTGAAACTCAAAGTTTGGATTTTAACTGCTTAAGCAGAGCTCATTCCACCAGACTTCATTCTGCATTCCAAATCAATAGCCCCCGTGGGATCTAAGTTGAGCAAAATTCAGCTCATAGGCCATGACCTTAGGAGTTGGCCAGGAGCGTGCCCAGCATCTCCCCTATCTGGGCACTTGGCAGGCTTACCTGACTCCTGCTGCTCTCTGTACATGTCAGCAGTAGCGTGTGGTAGTTAGTTGAAAATCAACTTATACAATATTACTGGGCCCCACTTACACAAGCCATTCATAGTATTACTCACTTTTTTTAATCTCTTCTAGTTTCTCAATATATTTCGTCATACTGTTACCTAAAAAGAAATTAGGGAAATTTAGATAATGCTGTAAATGGAAGGAAATAAGCAACCCTACGAAAACGGAATGGAGAACAAGTATTATACACCTTAAGCTTCCCCATCATGTTCCCATGAGACTATGTACAGTAGGCAAAAGAGTCACACATAACAGTCTTTTGGATTACATAGCATCTTCAGAAGATGTGCGACTGAAAAGTAACATTTCAGTCAAATGTATTTAAGCTGGAGTGCATAAAGAAACCCATTTAGTGATTTTACTAGCCCTCTCCCTCTGGAGTCAAGGTTTTCTTCCTCCATGTATCTCTCTCACCTCTGTAACATTTTGTGGGCAAGATAAACAGGAAAAGGAAGAAAGAAGCAAAGTTCTTTGAATGTCTAAAATGTGCCTTTGTGGCTACACAAGCAACGCTTTCCTCTTGGCTTTGTCATTGTGGTTCCTTCCTCTTTCCTGAATGTGGCCTTTCACCATTCGTGCTGATGCTGCAGCCTGAAGTAGACCACAGAGTCTGGACCCTAGTATTCACTGTGGACCTGACGGCTGAGAAATACCAGCAGATTCCCACCACTGTGGAGTCCTTAGCCTTCATGCTTTGTGGCCTGGTTCTACAATACTAGGTTCTAGTCAATGTGGTTTGAAAAGTTTTCATACTTTAAAACTAACTCAGGATCATGCTGGTTTTCACATGAATTAAATTCTACTTCCTAAGCCAGGGGCTATTATTTTTTACTGGGCATGCTGTAATCCGATTCGATTCAAGCCAACAAACTCTGGTACTTTTATGTATGGCTAAAAGAAAACATTCAAAGTAATTTCTCATTTCTAAAATTGTGCTCCTAACTTTAAGTGTTGAGAGGCTCTAGTTAAGAGTCAGGCCAATTTTGGATCCAAAAAACAAAAAGGCTTTCTAATAACAATATGAACTGGTATTTTCAAGGACTATTAACTTTTTTCATGTTTGGGTCAGAAGCAGAGGCAGAGAAAGAGAAATATTTGCTCTGAACAAAATACATTTCAAATAGAAAATATATTTTCAAAAAAGAAAAATAAACCCAAAACATTTGCTTGATATTATTACATTTTTACCACAAATTCATCATGGAATGAAAACCTGTTTGGGTGTTTGTGTTCATTTCATCTTAAGACAAATATGGTGAATAAGTTCATTAAATTAAAAGATACATTACCCTTAATCCCTCTCAAAATACTTCCCTTTTCTTCAAACACACTTATCATTCTTGTCACTTTCTGAGGCAGTTCTGTAAGTCATTTTTTCTTTGGTATCTTTATGAGGCATGATAAAAAAAAAAAAGTATGGCAAGTACTGCTGCTGAGCGCTACCTGAAGGCGAGGCGGGTGCGCAAGGCCACGATGGCACGGTGTCAGCACCTTATTCACTGGATCTGGTGCTGTGACTCCTGGCTCTTCTCCCAAGTCAGAATGACCATGAAAGGTAAACATTGTGGACCGATTGAGAACATCAAGGCAGCTATGACAGCACAAATAAAGACAGGAAAGAGGACTTCCAGAACTGCTTCAGAAACAAGAATGATGATATGTGTCTGAAGCAAGGCAGAGTATTTTGAAGAGCATTAATGGCAATGTCTTTTGCTGTAATAAAAGTTAAAAAAAAAATCACATCTTGCATATTCTCTGTATCCGGACTAGAAAGGAAGATTCATTGTATCCTAGATCCAGAGCAAAATCCACAAATTCTTCCTGGACCCAAAGAACTTGCCTGGTTGGTTGATACAATGAGGGAAGACAGCTAACTAACATACTGTTTATCTACCCACAATATTATTCTTAAAATATCAAATAATATTTAGTTATGTGTCTCTGTGTCCTCCATGTTGTTGATATGGCCATTATTTTCTTCTGGCTAGGGAAAATTCAAATAGTTTAGTTAGGAAACTAAAAAATAACAACAAAAAAAGTTTACTAGGGTCAGCGGGACAGTTCAGCAGCATAAGCACCTGCCTGGCAAGCACAAGGCCCTGAGTTCAATCCCTGGTACCAAAAATAAAATTATTCAGCTCAGTTCTTTAAGTGGCTGCTTCCACAAAGCTGTCAGCCTCAGGTTGCTGTAGTTCGATCCCCAACACTCCAGCCAGCCCAACCACCCCTGAGGGCATTCGGAGCAAAAAAAAAACACCAAAAAAACCCTTATTCCATTTTCTCTTAATGAATAGAATGATTTGTTCTAATGGTGTTTGTAAATAGGATCACAAGTCCGCATCTTGTACAGCAATTAACCAATAAGAAGAATATATGCAGTGTATTATTTGTTGAAACTGTACTTCCAATTTGATTTGAAACTGTCTCATTGCTATCTGTTTATCAATAAAACCTTAAAAAAATTAAAAAAAAAGTTTACTGATTTGTCCAGTGATACAAGTGAGTAAACAAGCCAAGATTTTCTAGTTGTGTTGTATTGTAATTATTTCTTATTGAACTCCAGGCCTTGTATGTGCTAGGTAAGTGCTCTACCACTGAGCTACATCCTTAGCCCTTGTGTTGCTTTATTTATTTATTTTTATTTTTTTAAATGTATATAGTACAGGATCTACAGGGTCTCACTACACAGATCAGACTCATAGTGATCCTCCTGCTTTCAGCTTCCCAAGGACTGGGATTACAGGTGCATGCCACCATGCCCAGTCTCAGTTGCCATCTCAGTGCACATCGGGGGTGGGTGGGACTGGCATAGTTCATGGGGATCAAACCGGGTCCCTGCATCTGCCTAAGCAGGTGCTCTAATATGCTGAGCTATCTGGTCAGCCCTTGTGTTGCTTTAAAATCTGATTAGTTATGATTAGTTATGAGGCAAATTTGTAGGAAATGCTACTTCCTTAAATGTAACTAGTAGGGACCATTTCATACTATAAATTCTTAGGAATGGAAAACAACAGTCAACTTTACACATCCTTATTATTAAGATATTGTATTTCTAAGCATTACAGTTTCTACTAACAGTGCTAAAATTAATCTCATTAACTACCATAATTTTTCCTGTATTGACATAGCATTCAACTTGTATCAGCAGATCCTCTCATGATGCTCTGAGGTAAGCTGTCCCACTTAACATTTGTTTTCCCTACTAAAGGAGAAGGCAGAGAAACAAAATCTTTTGTAGTTACGATCTGGCAAAATGATGAACCATTCTAAAAGGACAGTTAATAAGCTTTTCATTATAGACATTCATTCTGCCCAAGTATGGGACAGAAAAGAGAGAGGAACATTTCTGTGTTGCTTCTCCTGGAGAAATGAGACAGTGGGATAATTGAACCCAAATCAACAAAAAAATCCCTAAAATTGATTTCAGAAAGTATAGAAGTGGTACTTTATCCTATTATACATTTATGTTAAGTGCCTTCTTTTACTGCACCTAATTGCAACAGAAAATAGTTTCTGACTATCATTTTAAAAGACTAGGAAAGAGGCAATAATTCACTTCTTCTTTTTTTTTTTTTAATCTTAGGGAAGGGTCTACAGGGAGTTCAGGGTCTCACTACCAGACTCAAGTGATTGCCTGTTTACAGCCTCCCAAGAGCTGGGATTACAGGCGCATGCCACCATGCCAAGTCTCAACTGCCATCTCAGTGCACCCCAGGGGTGGGGCCAGCAGGGCAGGCCCTGGGGGCCGAATCCCCAGCCATTGCACCTGTTTTTTTTTTTTTTTTTTTTGGTGGAACCAGGGATTGAACTAAGGCGAGTTGCCAGGCAAGTGCTTATTCTAATGAGCTATCTCCCTGGCCCCCCTCTGCACCTGTTTGCAGGTGCTTTAATCCGCTGAGCTATTTGGCCAGCCTAATAATTCACTTCTTTATAAGCCTCTTTGGGCTGGGGAGATGGCTCAGAGGAATAAGTGCTTCCCTGGCAAGCGCAATGGTCTGAGTTCAATCCCTGGTTGGGGCGGGGGAGCCCTTTGTTTTATACAAAGTTGCCTAAAAGATTATAAGAGAATTAATTTAAGATTTTTTTTTTTGAAATTAGTCACTGCCAAATTTTCCTAGATAAGACTGATTTAAAAAAAAAATCTCAGTGGTTCTTCATCACTTACAAACTACTTTAAACTCCTTGTGCTAGCACTGAAGATGCCAATAACTTATCTACTACTCCAGGATTGCCTGAATTATTCAACTTGACAAACTCTGTTAGGCTTTGGCTCTAGCATATCGTCACACTAGCTCACCCAGAAGGAAGGGCCCTTTCCCTGCCCCCATCCCTGCAGCATTCAACTTACCACTCACTAGGTATTTATCACTGAACAGAATTGTATTATCTAACTCGATTGATGGAAAGCCCAAGGTTATTTATCTGTGCAAACACACATGTTCACATACACTCACACACACAAACATACTTTGTTTTATTTCTTCCATTGTCTAGTGTTAGAGACACTTAAAAATACTGAATGAAGCATGCTGTGAAGGATCTACCATTTGAAAAATCCTTACAGTGAGTTATTCTATAACTTAAATAATCACATGCCGGTCTGGCTTGAATTTCTGCACATGTGATTTTCTTTCAATTATGCACAATTTGATTTATATGCACTTGTGTTACAGACTATACACACGGATGGAGACAACCTAGGCAGGTATTAGGTGGTTTTAGTTTCTTCCATGTTTATAACTTAAATTGCAACAAACTAAAGTTTTACAATTACAACCAAAAGAAAGAAATAAGTCCACTATATCAATAGTACTGTGCAAAGATAGAGTACAATTGATTAACTGCATGATTCATTCATTAATTTTTTCATTTTGTTCCAAAAACTTAATAACATTATTTGTACTGAGGCTGTAAAAAAAAAAAAAACACCCAAATGATTCTGAACAGCAGTAATCTAAAGTGGGTAAGATTTATAAAGCATGAACTCCGTTGCTAAGTGACAACTCCACGGCTTTATTTTTCTTCAATATTTCCCTCCTCCACGAAGAAGTTCTTTTGGCTCAGAAGAAGCAGAAAGCATGAAAGGAGGTATAGTGGT